AACTTGTCGGGTGCCACACATGCCTCTCGGCGAGAAAGGACAGCACTTCCTAAGATGGCACGCGAGGTCATCACTCTTGTCCGTGAGAATAGCGATTATGGCAGAACCGATATTTGAACCAAAATGAATGTGACTCGATGCAGTCACGACCACCCTTAGAAGTGGAAAAAGATTACCGTCAGTACAGGACACTGACCGCAGGGAGTACAGGATCAAAGACTGGATTATGGACAAAAGCCTCTCATACGCAAACGACTCCAGGCTTCACCCATGGACTAATTCAGCCACTAGAGTGTTGTCTAACCGTGACATCATCCCATGCTCGGGCGATGTGGTTGAGACAGTCAGAGCTAAACGGAACACCATTGAAGACCTTGGATCAGATCACCTCTCGATAACCTTTGTCTTCGACGGAGACAAGGTGACCCGCAGAGGCAAACCACCATTGAAATGGACCACCATCGACACTGCCAAGAAGTACAAAGAATTCAGAAACGCCAAGAAGTGCAGCAAGGCCGGGAAACACGTAGACAGGACAGGAGTTAGAGAAGACGTAGAACAACATGCCGAGAATAACAAGAGAAAGATCATCGATAGAGTAGAAGAAAAACTGGAGCGACAAAGACCAACGGCTAACTTTCGCTCAGAGTGCTAACTGGCTATTCCTCTGAAGGAAAGTTTCAGAGGAGAGGGTCCGAAAGTTACGCAGCCCTCCTCGCACGGACAAGACTGGGATTAGGCTCAGAGAAGCAGTATCAGACAAAGAGAAGGCCGACCTGCTCTGCCAACTTTATTCTGCAGCAACTTCACCCTTCGACAATTCACGTTTGCCTCTTCGGTGCTAGGTGTAACATCGCCTCGTCGTTAACATTGCCTGCTAAACTTTGCCTGCTACCATGTCGATCGCAATGCTGCGGGTCCATATATAGGACTAACACCTCAAGCAGCGCCGAGTTGCTATTTGGTTGGGTATCGATGTGAAGATAATCTGTCCCGGGAGTCTCCGGTTCTATAGACCCAATTGCGCAACCTGGAAGTGCATCACGATGGCGCAACAACCTCCGACCCCGCCTCAACCCGCAAGCGACTGTCCCTAATGGCAACGAGAGGAACAGAACGCAATCCGGGGACAAAATGTGGCACATGCGCCAAATCGTATGGGCGCTCGAAACTTGTCGGGTGCCACACATGCTTCTCGGCGAGAAAGGACAGCACTTCCTAAGATGGCACGCGAGGTCATCACTCTTGTCCGTGAGAATAGCGATTATGGCAGAACCGATATTTGAACCAAAATGAATGTGACTCGATGCAGTCACGACCACCCTTAGAAGTGGAAAAAGATTACCGTCAGTACAGGACACTGACCGCAGGGAGTACAGGATCAAAGACTGGATTATGGACAAAAGCCTCTCATACGCAAACGACTCCAGGCTTCACCCATGGACTAATTCAGCCACTAGAGTGTTGTCTAACCGTGACATCATCCCATGCTCGGGCGATGTGGTTGAGACAGTCAGAGCTAAACGGAACATTATTGAAGACCTTGGATCAGATCACCTCTCGATAACCTTTGTCTTCGACGGAGACAAGGTGACCCGCAGAGGCAAACCACCATTGAAATGGACCACCATCGACACTGCCAAGAAGTACAAAGAATTCAGAAACGCCAAGAAGTGCAGCAAGGCCGGGAAACACGTAGACAGGACAGGAGTTAGAGAAGACGTAGAACAACATGCCGAGAATAACAAGAGAAAGATCATCGATAGAGTAGAAGAAAAACTGGAGCGACAAAGACCAACGGCTAACTTTCGCTCAGAGTGCTAACTGGCTATTCCTCTGAAGGAAAGTTTCAGAGGAGAGGGTTCGAAAGCTCGCAATTACGCAGCCCTCCTCGTACGGACAAGACTGGGATTAGGCTCAGAGACGCAGTATCAGACAAAGAGAAGGCCGACCTGTTCTGCTAACTTTATTCTGCAGCAACTTCACCCTTCGACAACTCACGTCCGCCATCAAAAAACCGAAAAATTGCAAAAGCCTGGGGCCCGAGGAGTGAGCAACGAGATGTGGAAGCAACTCGCCGGAACCGGTTCTAAAGGCGCTCCTCGCCCTCATCAAAATATTCTGGCGCGAGGTGCAAACGCAATCTGCTTAGCCTACAGTGACCACCATCATATCCATCCACGAAGAGAAAAGAAACTGCAAGAACCTCGCAGATCCCGACGTTCTCAAGTGTATGAATAAATACTTGCTGTATAAAACCCAAACTGAGGGCTAGTATAGTGGCCTACTTGTCCCCAATCGGAACAAGAAAGAAGATGCAGGGATCGATCCCCTCTTTCAGCGAATGTCCCCATGGAAATCGGTCTGAATAAAATACATTCTTATCACAGAGGCGAAACAACTACACTACGGAAATACAACCGATAAACAACGGCTATAGTCGCCTTTCACATGCAATTAACCACGGCCGATTGAGTAAAGACACTTTCACGTTTGGCTTGATAGAAAATACAAGGTAACAGTGAGCTTACTTTAATTCAACCGATATACAGCTCAGGCTATATGCTGTATGAAAAATAATAGCACACGCAAACACCAAACCCAAACGTTGGTCAGAAACATTTGCCAAAAAATTGATATTGAACTAATACTGATCGTAAAACAAACGTTTTTGTGTAATTATAAACGTGTTAGCAATTTCAAGGTAACCGAAAAGAAACGCCTGATTTTTTTCCTTTTTAGATTTTGTTTGAGATCTTTATTTTTTGTTTTCTTTTTTAAAAAAGATAAGCTAAATTACTCAAAAATTATCAGGTTGGCAAACTTGATTTTAAAACTATAGTAAAAGCAACCAAAACAACATAAATCAGAACAGTTTGATTATTTTGAAGCAAAATATCTTATAAAACCCATAACTTAGTTCAACTTTATAAATTAGCGCAGTTTTGTTTGATTAATGAATTAAAGAGAACAAATATTTAAAAAAAATTTGATTTCTAGTTCAATTAATTTTCTTCTATCTGTCCGTAAATTAACTTTACCCAAAAAGTTTTAGCTTAGCGAGTCCAAACAAAACGCCACATCAAAATCTTCAAACAACAGCATCAAATCAACATATTGTCATTACATGGGATCTCAATACATATTCAACGATGAACTATTTGAACCTCTGGGCCGCTGAATCTTCTCGTAGTTCTTGCTGATTAAGTCATGAAGCAAAGCCTGAAATAAACAAATCCTTGTTATCTGATCAAAGAATAAACTGAAATTTCTATATAACTAAAACGAATGATTTGAATCTTGCCGTCTTGACACCAGTGATGTCCATTTCAAAACACTAAAACTTGATTTAAAATAGCTGATCAATTCAACTGTTGATAAAGCAACAAAATTTAAAAAAAAACTCAAAATACTAGTACTTAAATACTTATGGGAAGTTGGCGAATAAAATTTTATAATTTCACGTCTCATCTTTACAATTAAAACTTAATCCAAATAGTTGATAAAAATTAAAATGAACATCCCTGCTAGACTATAACAATTTTATAATTTCAACAATCAGCCGAAAGGACTGATCAATTGCTTAATAATAGTGTAAGAACTATGAGTTACAAAAATTAATCATACTAGCAGGCTGCTGCTGAAAAATGACAACACTAATCTTTAACTGAAAAACAGGTTGAATGGATGGATGGATGGTTAGTTGGTAGTAAGGATGGCTGCATGGTCAGTTGGTAGTAAGGAAGAATGGATGGATGTAAGAATGATTGGCTGGATGAACGAATGGATAGATTGAAGGCAGGACGGATGAAGGAATAGTTAGATAGATCCGGATGGCAGTGCAAATGGTAGGCTAGACGGCTGGTTACATGGATGGTTGGAGGTATGGATGCATTGAGTGATGACTGGATCGAGGATGACTGGTAATATGAATGGATAGACGCGGGGCTGCAATGTTATTTAACAATGTTATTTAACAAGCAAATAAATAACTGTTTGTTATGTAAATATTCAACACTTGTTACCTATTTCCAGTGGTTCTTTTGTTTTGGCTTATACGTTATACCTGTATACCTGATTTTGGCTTATTTCAGATTTCGAGATGGGACGCAGAAAGAGCGGAGTTTGGCAGAATTTTTCGGAAATCACCATCGACGGGGTGATTCGAGCAAAATGTGACTTCTGCCAGATGGATCTAGTATCGAATCCAGATCGGATTCAGAAGCACTTGGACAAATGTGCTGCCAACAACACCAAAAAACATGAAGCTGGGCCGTCTTCGATGAAACAAACGAAACTATCGGTGCCGTCATTTTCAACTTCCAAATCTATGCAACACCAGATCGAGCTACAGGTTACCCGCTACATAGTAGCCTCAAATACAGCATTCCTGCAGGTCGAGAACAAACAGTTCGAAAAGCTTTTTACGATGCTCCGTCCAGGTACAAAAATCCCCAATTTGGTAATCAACACGACGATGAAGAACACAGATCAGATATACAGATTCTCCACGCAGATTCACTCGAACGGCAATTCTCCACGCTAGGGATGACGTACGGGATATTGAGAACAAGCCTTGGGCCGGAGAAGGCCGGGAAACTGGCGTTTTTGTACAGGGAATTGAATTGTTCTTGATCATTCCGAAAAAAAAACAATTTTCTAACAAAAAAACATGTTTTTTATCGTAAATAACCGTTAGTTTGTTATTTATTAAAATAGGTAACATTTTAACAGCCCTGAGATGGATGGCTACATTCACGATGGACAGCTGCATGGATGGCGAGCAGGATCCAAAGATGGCTGAGATGGGTGGATGGCTAGATTAAAAGATAAATGGCAGGTTGAATGGATGAAGGAAATGCAGGTTCGATGGAAAGATAAATTGCTGAAAATGAAAAAATAGCTGATTGAATGGATAGTGAATTGGAAGGAAGGCTTGTTGGATGTATGACTCCTTAATTGAATGGTTAGATAGATGGCTGTCTGGCTAGATGAATGGCTCATTGGATGTTGGCCAGATGAGCGAATAGGTGGATGAATGGCGGGATGAATGGAAGCTAAACGGATGGACGGATGATAGGATCAATGAATGGCTAGATCGATTATGGAAGGCAGGATGGATGAGTGCCTGGCTGGATTGCTAGATCAATGGATAGATAGTTCAATGACGGGATGGATAGCTGGTAGGGTCATGAATGGCAGGATAGATGGATTAATTGATGAAAGCCGGGTTCGTTAAATGGATGGCTTGAATGCATGGATGGTTAATGGCTGCTTGGATCAATTAGAACAATGAATGATTTGATGGTTGGATGGATGGCTTGAAGAATGAAATGACGTATAGATGGCTGGTTGGATGGCGGAAAGATGGCTGGCTGGGTACATGAATGGATGGTTATTTAAATGAATGGCTAGTGATTTGGATAGACCGCTGGTTGGATGGATGGATGGATGGATGGATGACTAAATGGATAGATGGCTTGATGAATGAAAGGCTTGATGTACAGATGGCTATTTGGATGAATGAATGGATCACTGGTTGGATGGATGGATTACTGGTTCGTGGCATGAATGGCTGGTGAGTTTGATGGATGGCTAGTTCATTGGATGGACCGCTGGTTTAATGACTGGTTGGTTGGATGGATGGATGGATGGATGATTTGATGGATGGATAGCTAGATTGATGGATTGCTTGATGAATGGCTGGATGGATAGATGGATGAATGGCTGGCCACATTGCCCGAGGAATGGCTAGATGGATGCACCGAATGAACAATGAGTGGTTTGATGGCTGGTTGAACGAATTGCTAGATGTATGGATCGCTTGATGAATGAATGGCTTTATGGATGGCTGGCTAGACGGATGGATGGATTAATATTTGAATGTTAAGATGGTCGGGCCAATTAATAAGCGATTGGTTCGATGGCTGGTTGGATACATAGATGAACAGATCGATTGACGACTGAAAGGCTTGATGGATGGATGAATCGTTGTATGGATGGCTAAACCGATGAATGACTTGATGGATGGTTGGTTGGATTTAAGATGGATCGCGGGTTGGACTGATATACTGCTAGATTGAAGGACAAGAGGAGTTAAGCAGACAAATTTCAAGGCAAGACATGAACCTCACTCAGTTTTGACAAACTTTTAAGTTTCCTAAGCATTATTTTTTGATAATTTTGAAAAATCATTTTCTCGGAAAATAAAGAATTTGAGCAGCCCTATTTGGGAGCAGATTTTGCAACCCTTGAGGATACACAGACAGAACCCTACTAGGGTATGGGAATTTCAATTTTGTGAAATTTTTTAAACCTAAATGTCATTTCTCGCAAGCTAGAAGGATTTGCGCAGCCATATTTTGAGGCAAGATTTGACTCGAAACTATAAGGTTCGGAATTTCAAACGCTGTGAAGATTTTTCGAAATTTAAGTTTGTGGAAAAATTTTCTAACAATAGTAGAAAAAAAGCCATATCTCGGGATTTAAAAGGATTTGAGTAGTCTCATTTGCAGGCAACATTTGAAAACACAACTATACGGCTAGGATTTCTAAAATGTGTGAGGATTTTTAAATCCAAATGTTTGGAAAATTTTTGGAACGTTTAACTCGTTATGTTATGTACCAAATTTGATATTCAAATTTGAAGGCCAATTTTGCAACTGTTGGGAAACCTGACACCACCCCACCATTGGGTTGCTACTTTCAAATTTGATGAAATATACGAAAAACGCTCGGTGCATAATGTATAGATGGATGAACCCCACCTTGCCTCTACCCTATACTGCGCTGGCCTGCTGCCCTCACGAGCTGGTTTCATAGCTACATCCTTACCTTCGGGAGGTTCAATTGGTCTAGCATTCATAAAATGGAGAATCGAAAAAAAAATGTTAAGCATGACAATATACCTGCAAAAACTCTTGTTGAACATGCAAAACTAATACGATAGATATAGATAGATAGATAGATAGATAGATTCAATGCATATGGCGTAATTGTCGACTGATTGACATGCTCTGCGTGTTTCGAGTCTGTTTATAAATCATCTGAATATGTTTCACTCATTTTTCTGAGTCTATTCTTTCCATCCATCTAGGCTTAAGTGAAGAAAAGTATGTCGAAATAGGTGAAAAAGATCTGATTACTTTCAGCTGAACTGAAGTGACTGACAGTCTACTCACATGTGAGTGAAGGAGTTGTGCTGTGACGTATTTGGTCAAATAGTTGAACTGTCGCTCGTCACACTCCTTAACTGCTGTTCGGTAATCTTCCTGAACACAATCAGCTCACATGCATCATACAATCTGATAAGTGAACTTTTAAGCCTAGTCCTGGCAGGGCTCCAACCTACCTCTGCTCCAAATGCGCACATTGACTTACATCAAATTTAGAGGATTTAGAGGAAGTTAAGAAAGTCTTTAGCCTGTTCCGCTTTAATAAAAATCCATCTTTTGCTTTAATAAAGCTTCCTAATTAAAAGCGAAAGCAAAGTAAATAGACTCACAATCTGAGGATATTTGATGACTTTGGAGCAGAGTTTGGCTCTGTTGGCAAAGTGTTCTATAACATCTTCGTAGTACTTGGCCGCATCATCCTCATAGTAGGTGACCTCTTTTACTACCTGAAAATTTTAACTTATCTGATCAACTCTACCAATGAAACTTCTCAGCAATCGATTGATTGTCGTATCACTCCAGTCAACCGAGAGCTCGGGAATAAATTAGAACAAGCCATAAAGACTAACACTGATTACCTATAACTAGCAAGCCTGTCTCCAATAAACAATCGACTCGCCAAAAAATAGATGTTGTTCTGATCAAGCTATTCAAGCAATGAACTATTCAAACAAGATTAAGCCATATCGAAAAAGATTTGAAAAATTTTAGATTTCATAAAACGAACTGATTCGCGAAAATTTGATGTTTGTTTAAGCAAGCTATTTAAGCTATGAACCTTTGAAATCATTCAAGTTTTTTCATGAAGGAGCTATTCAAGCAATGAAACTTTGAAATATTTCAAGTTGTTTATAGAGCAAATCAGCTGGCAAAAAGTTATATTTTCTAAGCAAGCTATTCAAGCGATGAAATTTTTCAAGTTATTGTAAAGAGCGAACTGGTTAATTTAAAAAAATTGAGTTTTTCAACAAGCTATTTAGCAAAAAACTTTGAAAAATTTCAAAGTAATTCATACAGCGAATCGGTCTGCAAAAATAAAGTTTTTCTAAAGCAAGTTATTCAAGCTATGAAGCTTGGAAATATTCAAGTTATTCCAAAGATTGGATCGGTTCGCTAAAAAGTTCAGATTTTTCCAAGCTATTCCAGCTATAAAATTTTGAAATATTTCAAATTCTTTCATAGCTCGAATCGATTTGCTAAAAATTAGTTTTCTGACCATGGAAGCTGCTGTTTTTAGTTGATTGGTTTCAGATTGAAATGAATCTGAAAACCCAAAAACGTGGACAAAAAGTGGGTAGGTACTGTCTAGCCTTGGAGTTAAATCGAGTTCATCTTGTTTGAAGAGCTTAAACTTTTTTCAAAAACATTCTGTAAAATTCCAAACTTTAGAACACAGAGGTGAAACTTCGCTTCGCAACCACTAGCGAGAACGCGACAAAAACACGCTCTATAAAGTGCAATAAGAAAAATTAGAAATTAGTATCGAATTAGTAAAAATTCTGCTACGTCTCGGGTTCAAGCCTGCGACCTAGATTTTACGAATCTCACGCATTATACACTCAGCCACGAACGCTTTATAGGAATCAAACACTAGCCATAAAAAGCAGAGAACAGATGCTATGCAATTTCCAAGGCTAAAGTGAAATTTCAAATAAGTGAACACTTTCGATGAGCACTTGTATTTGTTAGTTAGGTTAGAAAAAAAGAAGGTCCGTAATACAACACTACGCTGATTGCAGTGTAACGATTGAAATTTCTGGAAAATTTTTACCTAAACGCCTCTTAAACGTTGTGCCTGATAGAAAAATTGAACCTTGAACTTTCATTTAATTTAAAAACTTTCATTTACTATAAAAGATACCGATTCATCTCTTGTTACACGCTACTAGAACGATAACTTTCAGTCAGCCCCGATAGTGCGGGTTTGAAATTAAGAGTAATGTTAATGTATTTTGGTCAGATTTAATAATCATAATAGTAATAAATTGTTTTCTTTGGAGAGTAAAATGGTTTGTAACAGATGGCCTGCTCCCTCCCCTCTCCTCACCTCTGCTTGTATGGATACCCCGAAGTTGTTTCCGTCCTCCATCTTGGGCACTAGAAGAGAGATCCACACTTTGATCACGCTGCAGTTGTCTATGAACTCCCGAAGAATTGGTTTCAGCTCCTCACTCACTCTAGAGAAAGTCTCATTCATTTGCACATAGAAAAGTTATCATTTCGAAAAAGGGCAGCTGGCGCAAAATAAAATTTGAAGTAGCGCATACAATTATTGTAGAAGCTATGTAACCTCCAAAATACAGTGTACAAAATAGCAAGTGTACAAAAACATATTCGCAAACATAGCCAACAGACAGCTGAAAACTCGTCGTTCATTTAATCAATGATCTCAAGCAAACAATAGTTATCTTTAAGCTCTTTAAAGTTCTAGAATCGTTAAAATTTGAGAAAACTAAATGAAATATATTAATTATTCCGCTTGGAAAATGAAGCACCGGAGAGCGTAATTTACCGACCATTTACCGAACTAATTTTATGTGAACTAATTAACTTAATTAGAAAAAAAACAAGCGTCAAACGGCTCAAATTTGAAAATCTGAGCGCAAATGTATAGAAAGATTTTCTTGAAAAATGCCACCTGAAGCTAAAACAAAATCGTTGACTCAAAACTTGGAACAAATAATGCGACTTTGCAAAGATAGTAAGATTTGAACAAGACATCTCAGTACTAACTTGACTACGTGACGATTGTTTGTGATAGAGACCGGTGTCTGAACATCGTCGCTAGTTCGAGGTCGTTTAGCACTCGGACCCTGCAACAAAGCGATCTGCTCATTCATACGATTAATACATAGAGGCAATTTATCATTAGCTTATACGAGTAAGAAATTTACAGGAAAATAATTAATTTAGAAAAATTTTGAAAAAGCATTTTTACAGGCGAAGCTACATATTGCAAACATCAGCAGATACAAACATAATAAAAAAGAGAAGTTAGGAAGAAACAAGTGAACTCGTGTTATGATTATCGTTTGCGTAAGTAAATAAAAGTTTGAATACAAATGCTTAAAAAATTGACCAAATAATTTATCAAAATCAGCTGAAAGCAAAAAAAAATTTGCTCCAGTCTGTGAACGTAATTATTAACGCATAACACAGCCAACAAACCGATGGAAAAAATCAATGGACGCAAGAAAACAGAAAAAAATCTACACTCTTCGTCTTCAAACAAAAAACTATTTGCCCTTTAAGCTATTCAAATTAGTAGAAAAATTTACTTATCACGTTTTTTTGATAAAAATAATCCAGTAAGATACAACTGGACTAATATGCTATCTTTTGTTCCACTTTAGAAGTCGAACACGTTTTTCGCAATCTTAACAATTATGCTGATAGTGGCTTTCAACGAATGAAATGAACTGACCAACAGGTAGTTCAAAATGAGGGAAGAACTTTGTATACGGTTGTGTTTTAATTTTTTTCTTCCACGAAAAATCAGGTACCACAAATAATCATCGGACCGGGTTGAGCGATATATCATAATAAAGCCCTTTTAATCGTGCTTCGAACGACATAAAAATTTGCAGAAAAATTTTCCAAGTTGGAGAAAAACGTATACTTTGGACAATATTCTTCAAAAGCCTTAAAAACAGTGCAAATCATTTACCCAGCCGCAACTAAAAAAGAAAATGGGTCGACCCGTGTTGAGCAGAAAAAAACCTTTTGCCATAAAGAACTCTCAGCTTTAAAGTTGTGAAAGCTTTTGCTTATTCGTAATGAAACTCACTGAAGCCTAAAAATATATTTTGAAACACAGAGGCGAAGCTGCGCTTCCCAAAAACTAGCAAAAGGACGACAAGAAGCAGTTTTATTAAGTCAAACAAGAAAAATAAAGTGAGCTTCGAATTGGTAACTTTGATACGTATCGGATTCGAAACTGCGACCTTGAGATTTGGAGTATCACCCCTGCCCTCTCGGTCAGGAACGCTTGGCAATCAACAAACACTATTCACAATTAGAAGCTACATATGCTCGTAAATTGACAATGCGATGCAGCAAAAGTGCTCTAAATACGAATTGACACAATTTTGCATGTAATAATTTAGAATATAACAAACTGAAGGCATCCACAATAAGTTTGCATGTAATAAAACCAAATTATAAACAAAAAATACATCTCAAAAAAATTAGAGATAAAATGAGAAAGAACATTTCTGAAATCGAGTTTCTACAGAGGCGAAATTGCACTTCGCATATACAAGCAAAAATATGACCGATAACGCTACTGGGAAAAACTGAATGAATGAAACTTCGAGTCTACAAAATTTTTAAGTGACGCACGCCAATTATGAGTCTACGTAACTGCTAAGTGAGCCAAGCCAATTATGTCGCAGTAACAGTACCAGTCGATTTGAAAAAAATACCAACTAACATGCCTCAATTTATAGGGCGGACGCAACTTAACCAGTATATGAAAAAGTTCATTAAAAACATCCGACCCTGCCCAGGTTCGAACCCTCTTGTTTTGTTGCGGGCCTCCTTCTCTACCTCTACCTTACAGATCCATGATACCTTGAAGCTAAAGTGCTAATCGTAAGACAATAGTCTTTGTTAAAATCCTTAGCATTGGCTCTACTTAATAACTGGTTATTGATCAAAATGAACACTTTCAAAATGAACACATTTTGTCGCAACAAGATTTGCTATAAGTTCATACTATAACACAAGCTTTGCTAGTGAAATGATTGTTATGCTGTTTGAAACAAATATCTTTTTTCGGTTCATTTGATGAGTTATAAATGCATCAACTGTGTCAACTTATTACTAATCGAATTTCAAACCACGTGCTTTCAAAAATCCATAAAGTTGCCACCAACAGTGGCACCAATATTTGCGACTTAAGCTCGCCAATGTAAGTACACAAAATAAGTTGCCTGAGTAAACGACAAAAAGCAGCTCTAAAAAGTGAAAAACGAAAAAGTAAAAACAAACCTCGAAAAAAAACCATTTGGTATGCATCGGATTCAAATCTCCGACCTTCAGGTTTGCAGTCTAACGTTCTCGCATCTGCGCACCGATCCTTAAAAATGTTAACACTGGCCACCAATAAAACATCAACAGAAGCTAATCAATTACCAGTGCTGTGAAGCAAAATGCCACCAAATGTTGTAGGAGAAGATTGACTTAAAAATGAATCAACTGATATAACTTATTGCTGAAAACTAAAAATAGGAGCTAAAAACTTTCCTTGCTTAAAAACTTACTAACAACACTTACATTGGCAATATCTCCCTGATTTCCAACATGACTTCCATTTTGTTGTTTTGTCGAGGTAGAAGCTAACTGAGATGGTTCTGGCAATTCACTGTAGATCTTTGAGTAGTCCGTCAATTTCCAAAGGTCACTCTAGAATTACGATTACATTACAGCTTGCTATTCAGTTAAACAAAAATCTAACACAACTTCATAAATTAGCTTAAGTTATGCCGACCAGGATTTATACAGAATCTGAAACAGAGCCTTGAGGGGCTTTGAAGTCAAGGAAGTATGTTTAATTCTATAAAACATGGAGCTGAGCGAATAGACAGACAGACTTCAACAGTTTGCACTAACTTTGATGAGTTCTCTTAACTTGGTGATGTTTTCTGGAAACCGTTTGTAGACTAACTTCTCGGCCTAAAATACAGACAGACGGATCGCAAAATTGACTTGTAATACACGCCACACACAAGTCAAGCAATAGTTGGCCACTTACTCTTTCTGAGATGTCCGTTTTTAGATTTTCCACCTCAGGAGACTTTTCTGCGTTTCCGTCAGACACAGAAGAAGGAGGCATATCAAAATCTGAAAGGCAACTAAATTATTTCAAACTTGACATTTGGTAATGTTTCTGAAAAAATATTGTCCAGTTGGTGAGCAAGCAGCGCAATCCAACTACTTTCATTATTCCAAAATTGGGGAAAAGCAAAGTACTGCTCGACAAAGAAACATTTTCATTGAAAGGAGCGTAACACAATTGGGTGATTACTTGCATATGAGACCATTGCAACGAACTACTCTCCAATAAATGACTCTTAAATAAACTCTTCCACCGATAAAGCAAAAAAAAAATCGGTAACGGCCACAAAGCAACCGAGCAATACTTGGTACCAGGGGCGGGTCTAGGATTTTCTCGAGGGGCGGCCGGATTTTCAAAAAAATTTCGAAAATTTTGACGACCTTTTTTTTAGTCGACCAAATAGATTTCCCGAGCTCTCCTAGAACACTAAAAAGACGGTTTTTTGGCCAAATTTTCCGCGCCGCAGGCAAATTTTTGAAAAAACAGGTAAAAAAAGCCGTTTTAGGGCACTTTTTGGAAAATTTTAGTATCTGTAGGTCAAAAATGGATTTCCTAAAAAGTACCAAAGGGGGGACCCTTTGGGTCGGCAGGGGGTCGATTCCCTGAGAAGGAGGGACGTCCGCCCATACCCCCCCCCCGCTAAATCCGCCCCTGATTGGTTCTAGTTTACTTGTTTCGTCCCTCAAAATTGCTGTAGTCCCTAATACGAATAGAGGTACAGTATTTCCTTAACTCAAACATTAAGCATCTTAATTTCTCTACGCTGCTGCCGAAACGGGTCTGGCTAGTCTAGCGAGTACGAATCCGGTTACAGACCCCAAACGTAGGTTTGAATCCCGTGTTGGCTTTTGTTTTTCAGAAAATAGGCGGGACCAACCATCTTAACTAGTTTTGTTAAGTGACCAAACAAGTAAACTAGTACCCAGTAATTGACGGATACTTTCGTGTTTAGCTGAATAAGTAATCTCGCCGCTAAGCTCTTGAAGTGCAAAAAATAAGCTCTTGAAGTGCAAAAAAAAAACGAAATTGAGCGTGCACATTTTACAATTTTTTCTTGTTATAAATGACTTGTATAAAAATACTCCGTTCTGTCATTGAAACTTAATCATACTTTCTTTTCAAATGCTCTTAGAGGAAAGGTGTGTTGTCATTGGTATTAACAGTTTGAATTTTGTCTTGTTTGTCAAGTGCTCAAAATAAATGATTAAATGAAACTAATTTTTGACAGCCATTTGGTGAGATAGCTATAAAGAGAAGGACGAAAACAAGAAACACGAGCTGCTACCAGCAACGATAGCTTTAAAAATTTCATATTCTAACAACAGTTTTATTCATTAAGCCTTTATCTCTCAGACCTACGACAAAAAAAAACAGCTTCAAAAAAGTTGCCTCCAAAATAAAACTGAGGCGAAGCTGCACTTCTTGAACAAAAACGGCTTAAAGAGCTCCAAAAATAAAACAAATATAAAATGAGTATGTGAAAAATAATCTGTGGAAAATTAAAAATCTTTGCCGGAATTGAACCTCCGACCTGAACTCTAGGAGTCTAGCGTCCTCCCGTATCTATTATGTGCACATGAAATTTATAAAAACTATGCGCTATTCACTTGCCAATGCTATGCAGCAGAAGTTTTCACCACAACTAGCAAGCCCTCTGCAGCTCTAGCTGCTCCTGAAAAATGAGAACGTTCATCTGTACCAGAAAATAGAACAGATGGATGAATGTTTAGCTGGTTCTAAGGATGGCTGGACAGTGGATGTAATGGATCAATGGATGTTTGAATCATTGGCTTGACGATTGAATGAAGGCACGATGGATAGCCAGATGGATGCATGGATGGCAGTCTAGATGGATGGCTAGTCGGTTGGAGGGATGAATGGATCGAGTGACGGCTGGATCAAAGACTGACTGGTTGGATGCATGGTTGGCTAGATGGACGGATGACTAGTTGGTTGAAAGGCCAGATGGGTTGATGGCCTTTCAACCCAAAAATTTTTTTTCAAAAAAAAAACACTAAAAATGTCGTATCTCGGAAACTAAAAAGGTTTCTGCAGGCATATTAGGAGGCAAGATTTGAAACCTCTGACATAACCCTCACTTTAGGTTTCGAAATTTCTTGTCAACTTTTTTAAATCTAAATTTTTTTTTAAAAATCAAAGAAAAAACATAAAAACACGTCATATCTCGGAAAGCAAAAGGATTCGAGCAGGAGGCATATTTAGAGGCAAGATTTGCAACTACGGAGACCACCCCGACAGCACCCCACTATAGGGTTGATGTTTTCATTTTAGTGACGCTTTTGAAATCTAAGTTTTTGAAAATTTTTGGAAACAATCATAACAAACGACATATTTCGGAACCTAAAAAAATTTGAGTATTCATATTTGTAGGACAAATTTGCAACCCCCTGCTACAACCCTGAAATTACCCCACCATAGTGTACCTAATTTTAAATCTGTTGAAAAAAACGCTGAAACGAAAAAAAAATGCCAGTTACATCATAAATATATGGATGAATCCACCCTTTACATTACACTACACTGCGCTGCCCTCAAAACTAGAGCCTTACAATTGACCCTTTCAATAAGCCTAGCGTTCATAAACTATAAAATCGAAAAAATTTCTTAAGCATAGCAATATGCGATATAGCTAAAAACGTGCAAAAAAATTCTTTCGTTAAACATGCAAAATTGATATAGATAGGTAGATGAATACTATTTCACAAAAATTGGGTGAGAAAAGAAATCTGTAATATAACATTGCCCTCGCTTTTGAACACAAGAGTGGTCACAGTTCGTTTTGACTACAGTATGTCCCTTGCAGCACAGTCCAACTACTTAAACGATTCGCAAAAAATGGGGAAAAACAAAGCACTGCTCGACAAAAACAAACTAATCAATTTTAAACTTCATTGATCATTATTTTGAAAGAAACGGAACGGAACATTATTGCGTGTTTACTTACGTATGAGATCATTTCAACGAATAATAACTTTACCTTTTTTAACTTCTTTGATAAAAAACGCTCTGAATAAAAGAAGCTTCCGTTCTTTCAATCAAAGTTAATTATACTTAGCCACACTGACACAGAAGAAAATTAAAACTCTCTTCTTGATTATTTTCTAACCGATGGAGTATTTAAAGTAATTTCTTTTTCATTGAATTAATTTTCTTCTTTTTTTCAAGATTCAATTTCTTTCTCTCTGTCGTATTTTGATATTTATACCTCTTTTCAAACGCTCTTACTCAAAGATGTATTGTCATTGGCATTAAAAGCATGAATTTTGTTTTGTTTGTAAAGCACTCAAAGTACATAGATATAATGATTAACTGAAACTATATTGCTTGAGCCATTTGATGAAATAGCTAACATAAAAAAAGCTTTTACTAACATCAGTTGCTTCTTTACTATTTAATATTCTAACCAGCAATTTTATTGAATAAGCCTTTATTGCTCAGACCTACAACAAAAAGTATAGACGGAAGGCTTTCTCTATAAAAATATCTTCTAAGAACCCAAATCGAAATCGAGAGGATTAACTTGTTTGATTTTTCACTCAAAGAACACTACGCTAGCTCGACCCTCCTTTAAGGTAACTGGTATCGAATGGGAAAAACAAGGCCATAGGTTCTTCCACTCTTCCGAGAGTGGTCGGAACAATAAAACGCAATTTATAAAACTTAATTCAATTATCAAAAACACAGAATATTAATAGCAAGTAGTGAGCAATACTTTCTCAGCAACTAAATCAAGGATGAAAATTGCACGTTTGTTGATTTACCATCTCAAAGGACTAGATCAGATCAGTTAGTAATGGAGGTTGACCAGAGTACGAAGTGAAGTGCAGACTTGATTGGATCGAGGTATAAAAAATAATTTAAGAAGACGTAATTGTTTTAGAGAGAGAACTAACTTTCCTCACTCAGGGCATTTTGAAGGGCTTCTCCTGGTTCTCGTCTATAGTCGGTGGACATTCTGTTTCACCTGTAACCTTGGTCCCGCTCGCTGTTGTTTCTCCTTAAACATTTGTAAATTAATAATCCTAAACCCATCACTTTTTTCGTCACAAAGGATGCTTTTCATAATGTAATTTTAATGTAATTCTAAATTGAAAGTAAAAATAAAACGAATCGGAATGCGAACGAATAATTTCCTTCCCACAGGACTTAAACATAGCTGCAACTTAGTTTCAAGCTTGAAAATTTTCTATTCATTTTGTTCGACAGCCCATTAAATTTTGTCTGTTCACTCATAAAAGTTACTAATTACGCAATTTTAATACATAATTTGAAAAATCAACTTACAGAAGCAGGTGTGATTAATAATTGGAGGAGCAGAAATTAAATTTCGAGAAGAGAGGTTTTCGCAACTAAAGAGAATGCTGAGAATTCAACTTGTGTTATTGACGCTGCAACTATTAGAGGCCCATCCGATCTTACATGAAAATAGTTGGAAATTCCTACAGGCTTTATTCGAAGAACTCGCTGTGCTTTAGCTCAAAACTCAGCAGCCTCAACATTCGTGGATAATTAAATGATGGCAAATCATGAATAGTAGATTTTTGAAACTTAGTGTGGATTTATGAATGTTGATTTTCAATTCGACACTTCGAATCACAAGAAACGCCCGCCATAAGACCAGGTGAAATAGTCAATCAATCAGTGATAAATTTTTCGGACATTTAAAAGCAGATGTTTAATACGCTGTGACTTTTCAGATGATTTTCAAATCTACTTATAGGAAAATCACAAAAACAGGCGCAATGAGAATCATGCTGATTGCAAATTATATTTGCCCGAAACTCAGTACGACCGTTTTTGATAATCGGAGGTTTATCAGATGTAGATATTTAGAAACCACTGAGGCATGAAAACATCATAAATGCAGAGTCGAATCAAGTAGAGCAAGCTCAAAAAGTCAAGTTGGGACAAAATGGCATAAGGTGGTTTTGTCATTGAAGGTACAGAAGTGGAGTAATGCGTTGCGTTTATAGACTATGTATTCAGAACAATGCCACTTATTGCGGCCAACAACTAATCAAGCCAACTATTGCAGCTGTTCCATCTTTAACACTAGCATAACGCGGGACACAGACCAGACAATAAGAAAGCAGAGACGAAGTAATGGAGATTCCATCATGGATACACTAATTCCTTCCGACCAGTCGGAACACTCGCAACTACGTGGTTCATCAGAAGGGTCTGAAAGAGCATGCAGTTATACAGTTATTCCACAATATTGCAAATTGTTTCACTGAATGTTTAAAAATTTATTCTATCGCAAATAAGCCAAGATATGGCGTGTATCTAGAATTCGGATATGTCGAATATAGTGGCCCAATTGTTATGTAATTTTATGCTTTCTGATATTTAAATGGTTGGAGAGGGTGGTTATGACAGTCAAAGCTGCTACCTAGTTCAACAAATTATTTACCATTTTTCATACTGCTAAGCTTAAACGCAATAGTAGACGCCTACAAAAGAGCAATTCCACAAAGAAAAACTGAGTATTTCAATTTTCAGCACAATCGTTCAGCTGATTTGCTACATCATTCTACTTGTGAATTCTATTTTGAGTGTAACATTTTACTGTCGATTTTTACACCTGCGGGCCCCATCAAACTATTCAGTAAATAACAGCAAAATATAACAGCAAAACAGCAACCATTCTCTACCCCCTTATGATTCATAAAACTAAGTGGACACACTCAAACCAAGTTATCGAGATATTTGTGAAGAACGTATTTTGTTTGCCGTAGTAATGGCATATTTATCAGTTTTTCAAAACATAGCCAACTGACAGTTGGAAAAGAGTAAAAACACAAGGAAACTGAAATTAAAACTGACTTCAATTTGTAGAACGCTCTTTGAAAACTCTTTGAATTTGTAGAACAATTTATATTTTTTGATAAAAATAAACCAATAATTAATTTCCGTTTTCGAAAAAAGAAGTCGATCTTTTTTCTTGACCTTCACACTTTTGCTGTTCGATAGTGAAGTTTGTCTTCCTTTTAGCAATGGAAATGCACTGAACTTGAAAAGAAATTACAAGTCAAACCGCAAAAAAATCAAATATGAGCGTGAACAAATTTTATGAATTTTTTCCTGAAAAAAAAAAACAAAAATGTCCCCAAGACCTATATAAGAGTACATTACTCTTAATTATTGCAATAAAAACTCTAATTCTAAAAATTTTACACAGAGCGAAGTTGCAAGGACGAGCGACAGAACGCCAGAAGTAGCTTTAAAAAGGTTTAAAAAAGCGGAAAAAGGCACTAACTGAAAAATATAAACGGGTTTAGAAAAGAAATCCACTATGGGAGTCACAGGCTTCGAGCATCAAATTCGACTGAATGCACCACATACCTTCAGCATCCATTCCAAATACCCAACACATCTGTATCACTGACTCTTACAGAACCTTAACGCTTGCCACTGAGCCGAGAACGCATGCTATAAAAAGGCAGAACAGTGCAGCAAAAGTTACAAGAAATGAGCTTTTCTTTTATATTTGCTAGTTGAATCGGAAGAAGAAAGTGGATTCGCATTTTAAAAAAAAAACACTCACCAGCTTGCTGCTGTAAAGACGAGGCGGTAGGTTTTGGTCTCTTCTCAATAAAAAATAATGCAAAGACAAAATTGAAATTTAAAAAAATTGAAATTTTTACACAGAGCTGCGCTTCAAAAAATTTTACACTGAGGTGAAGCTGCACTTCGCAAACACAAGCTGAAAAAAGCAGCGCCAAGTAGCTTCAGCTGGTCGAAAAACTGAAAAAGTTCCAGGTTGTGTTGCCACTTGCCCCAAACAACTGTGCGACTGACTCTAACAGAATCCAAAGAAACTTCGCTGAAAAATTGCAGGTGAGAAGCTATTAAAATGTCAGTAATATGCTACCAAAAGGCCACCAAAGAGGGGCAGTTTTATTTGCAAGTTAGGTTGGAAAAAAGTAGGGTTCGTAATCGGCAAAATCTTGGATACAGAGGCGAAACAGAGCATTGCATCGTTTGCGATACGTCATAGAACGGCAGCTAGCCGAAAAATAATACGACAAAAGCAACTGATTCGAATAAAAAATTGAAAAATATCGGATTTTTCATATTTGTCTCGAAGGTGGTTGATTTTGAAGAAGGAAACTGAGAAGCACAATTGCCAGTGTGAAATAAGTATTGATTAAGAACGTCATCAAACGGTAACTGATCAGATAATACTTGGATAGACGACACATGACCCAAAAAAATGCAAGAACTTTTGAGCTGCATAAAAAATCTATTACTCCCGTTTTTCATACCCCCACTTCGAAAGCACAAATGCAATAAGAAAATATTTTGGCCCTTCAAACAAAAAATTACACAGAAGCGAAGCTGCGCTTTGCAAACACTTGCAAGAAAACGACCAAAAGCAGCTCAGGTAGCGACAAATACAAAAAGACACAATTTTGCATGTAAAAAATCGCTAGTTAAGGCCACCTCATGTTTAAATTACGCTTTTCAAAAAATTGCTGATATCGAGTTTTCCTTATTTTTATTTGTTTGGAACAAATCACTTTTTTCGACTCACTTGACGAATTAACACAGAGGCAAAGCTGCGCTTCGCAAAAACAAGCGACGAAAATGCAAAAAAAGAGAGCTCTAAGCAGGCAAAACAAAGTGAAATAAGGAAAATATAAAAAAACACCTTGCCCAAATTTTTGTTGAGATAGTAGTATCACGTTCTCACATCTGCTTTACGACCACGTACAATTCTGCTAACACTAGCCACCAATAAAGCAGCTACATTTTCCATCAAACTGACAAGTTATGCAGCAAAAATTCGACAAAAAAAAACAAAACTATTTAAATGTTCCAGATATGAACATCCGACCAGTTGATTAGGAATCTCAAGTCCTCGCATCTGCGCTAAGGTAGCTTGCAAGTCAACTAATGGCTGGAATTAAGCGCTCATTTGAAGAAGAAAATTGTTACTCGCTCTTTCAATTGAAGTCTTTATCTCAGATTTAGCTGAGTGATTCAGAAAATTGGTCAAACTTTTCTACATCCATAAACTTTTCTCTTCTAAAGCATGGGAACAGCCTCTGCGTTCGACACCATGATTTCTAGATTGAAGATTTCTGCATCCTGATTTTGTACATTGAGTCCTTAATATCAGATTTAACTAGTAGTTTTCGAGAAGACTGACGAAATTTCTATGAAAAAGGTAAGAATTACAAACGGAATTTTCCGAACTCCACAACAGCTTTTTAATTAAAAACAGATAAAACCCATTACGCAATTACGCAGGTAAAATCCAACGCCATGTTAATTTTTGGTTCATTCGTTAGGTTAGTTTTTGAAAAAAAAACTTTCCAAAAAACGGGCAAAATTTCAAAGATTGGACATTTTCAAAGGCCATACTCTAAGCTCATGTCATATCCGCTTGCCCAAGTAGGACTCACATCACTGATTTTATTTTTCGGTTAAACCCCAAATCTCCGATTTTGCAGGGTAGTTTTTGAGAAAAAAAAAACAAGTTTTAAAAATTAACTAAAATGTCAAAAAATGGGCGTGTTTGAGGCCATAACTTTTTTTTATCGAATTTAGGTTATAGCCGTTTGAGCAGGGGATATCTGCTAATTTGTTCTTTTGATTGTAACCTTCACCTCTGATTTGTGCATTTAATATTTGAAAAAATATCAAAAGAAGTATGGCAAAAATCCCCCTACTGAAAATTTCGAAGGCTGTACAACGTGAAGTAAAATGAAAAGAGACTAGCGAAATAAGCAGACACATAGAAGAGCAGCCGCACTTTCCATTGATAACAATTTTTTGAAAATCGATTCAGTAGTTTTTGCGAAAAATTGAAATTGAACATATCCCATACATTTTCATAATACATGTTTATTCAAATAGGGCCTAACACTAGCGAAAAACAAAACAGCAACATATTCCATTAAACTGTTTATGCTTAATTAGGCCTAAATATGATTAAATTGAAATATACCAAAATAGCTACCAAATGAGCACTTTTATTTGCGACTTGCATTGGAAAAAAAAGAAGGTTCGCAATAATACACTCGCTTTGCGAGTGTAATGAGGCAAATAATTAGATATAGTATCAGCCGAAACCCTTTATGCCGAAAAAAGCAACAGAAACGAAAACGATCAGTGAAAAAAGAAAAAAATAAGAGTGGTTTTGAAAGCAACAAAAAATTCGAATGAAAGTCAATTTAAAAAGCAGACGTGCTCAAAAAACTGCATTCCATCATTACAGATATGCCAACTGATTCAATTTATTTTCTTAAACTGGATTTTACCTTGAAAAAATCTATAATCCTATCTGATCACGCTTGCTAATCGCAAGCGTAAAGACAATTAGTTGCACATAAAAGGATATAGAAAATTTTTTGAATTTTAGTAAAAAATGCCTCAATCTACGCGCAAACTCCGTGCAGTGACACCTAAATCTTCGGCGCCAAAATATACTAATTTTGAGATTTTTTGGTCAAAATTTACCAAAAAATGCCTAAAACGCTCTTTTAGACTTTTTTCAAAAATTCGCTAACGGAGCGGAAAATTTGGTCAAAATAGGGTGTTTATAGTGATTTGGTATAGCTCAGATATATCAAATTGGTCGACCTAAAAAAAGGTCCACAAAATTTTCTAATTTTTTGAAAATCGCCTCTCCCTCCCCGAGAAAATCCTAGATCCGCCCCTGCTTACAATATTGTAAATAACTGAAAAGTAAATATGCTTGTTGTTTTTATCATACCTTCTGCTACTTCCTTGACTGTAGTCCGGTGACCTTCTCGAAGACCTCACAGGACTCCTATCTCTGTACAAACTGTCATCATTGTAATCATAGTCTCTCCTTCTAGATCCTCCCCCTCCCCCTCCCACTCCCATTTCCATTCCCATTCCGCCTCGTCCATAGCCCTCTCTGCCCATCGTGCCTCCGTATCTGCCCCCACCACCTCCCCCTCCCATGTAACCTCTGGTGCCCCCACCACCTTGTTTGGAGTGACCATGACCTTTGGCCATTTCAACTGACACTCGGAGACCGAACAACTTGCTGCAAAACATAAACGAACGAGTTGATGACAGAAATATTCAAACAAAAAAAACGGATCAAATGGACTTCGGACACAATTGAGTCAATTTCATGGATAAACTAATATCATAGTCGAGTACAAAAAAACTAAGAGAGATGAAAAAGGTTCCTAAAGGTCCTAAATATGCATTTGGATTCTCGTAACGTAAATCCATCCTCACACGCATGTAAAAAATTTGCAACCGGAATTCATTAAAAAAAACCTGTCATTTGGACTCACGATCCATCTAATTCTTCACAGGCGTCTTTTGCGTCTCTCTCGTCAAAGTAGTCCACGAATGCAAACCCGGGTGGATTTCTGGCCATCCAGATGCCTTTGACCTCTCCGAACTTCTCGAAGATCTGCTTCAGTTCCTTCTCAGTGCCGAGGTCCTTCAGTCCTCCCACAAACACTTTGGCTCTCAAGGTCGGCTCTCGCGACATGCTTCAAAATGAAGAAGCTAGCTATACCTTGTCTGAAAACTCCCCCAGATATTACACAAGAAAACATACTGCGATATCATTCATAAATGAACAGTTGGATATGCAAAATTTATGGCAGCTCATTCTGACATTAAGCTCAACTTATTCTAATTGTTTGTACTGTGCGCAATAAAAATTAGAAGTGTTTGTATCGTTCAAGTCAATGGCTTGAGGAAAAAGAGACACCCCGTCAAAACATCCCATGCCACAAACTCCAATGACAACAAAAATGCCCATGTTCCCATGCCTTAAGATCTCTGCCTTTAAAATAATTAAAAAGATCCGAGAACTAGGAGCCAACTGTTATCATTTCAAAGATACATTCTGAAATAAACTATCAACGATAAATTTATTTCTTACATCATCAATTAGAATGAGAAGTTTTCAGACAATTAAATCAGAATTTTTAGGACGATCCGACCCCTCGCCAAGGGTTGATTTCTTGGTCACGAAGACCCAGTGCCTCAAAGAGCGGTAGCACGCTGTCTATTGGCTTAAAGTAACCACTTCACTCCTGATTCGGATTCTTCAACAACTCAAACCAGTTTTCTCAGCGTCGTTTTCAGACTTGTTTTGAGCGGCCGGTCGGACATAATGTGTGAATAAATCACTTCAACTCAATTTCAATTCATTTTTGAAGGATTTTTTTTTCAATGATATTTCACCTATTGTTATCTAAGTTCGATCTTTTTTTAAATTCATTCCAAATAAAAACAAATCGTCTGAATTCTTTATCTCAATTTTTACAACATAAATTAACGCGGTCGGAACATGCTGGGCTGATTAAACTAAAGAGTGCTGTTGCTTTATTGAGCAGCCCATTCGATATCAATGTAGGCTATTAACAACAGAAACCGATTCTAACTCATATCATTGGTCCGTCCACTGAAAGTGTGTAGGGAACAACGTCTTGGGGTGTTTTATAATTTTTACCATTTTTTCCTGAGCTTCACGCCACTTGCGATGCAAAACAAAGCGCCAAAAGTCAGAAGATAATATCTTTCAAACGAAAAGTGAAAAACTTGAATGAGTTTCGAAGAAATCGTAGGCTAGAAAATCAAGAAAAACCTTATTGCAGTTATTATAGAAATCATTTACCTGAAACCAAAGAAGGATTCGGGGTTAACTCCATCCAATTCGTTCTCAGAACCAATAGATGGAAACGATAAGATGAATTTCGATCAAAAATTGAGACGCATACACCCTTAGCTGTACTCAAAAACTGTTCATTAAGTTTTGCAGCCAAACAGCCTGCATATACAACAGGAACAATCGGGGATAAAAAGACCCTATACGCTATTGCATAAGATCAAAATGAAAAAAAATTGAAAGATACAAACAACTGCCACGAAACAGAACTTGCAGAAAATCTGAAAAAAAAACTCTCAAAGCCTTTACAAATAACCCAATTACATCAGCCTTAACAAATTTGAAAGTTATACGCAACGGTAAAAGAGCTAGCTGGATCAGAACAAGAAATAAATTACATGGAAAAGACGCCAGTTTGGGAAATAAAAACACGAAGTCTTGTTTTTTTTTCAAAAAAGTCGGCCAAACTCCACACTCCAGGGATCCCGTGCGTCACTTGCCGCTATACTAACATGTAAACAAAACAGTTGATACAAACTTGCAAAAAATTCTGAAACGTTATCAATTTTTTTTTGAAAGTTTTTTTGACATGTTGATACAATACGTTAAACCATCAAATTGAAACAATTTCAAATGAAATTTATCAAATCTGAAACGCACTGAACTCATCAAAACTAAAATATACTTCCACGCATTTTAGAACAAAAAAATCAGAAACCAAACATCCGGAAAAAAACTGAAAATTTAATGCAATAAAAAGGTCTAACAGATTTTTTTTTATTTTCTTCTCAAACTGAAAATTTAGCACGTTTAAAAATTGGTAAACTATGAACTATATTTACGTAAATGGAAATTAAGAAAAAGTATTGGAAAATTGTACCAACAAAATTACGGAAGTAAAACACCCGGCAAGAAAGCCGACAAAAAACAGGACGAAACCATAAAAGCCGACAAAACATCAATTTATGCCTAAAAATGTTTCAGCTTTTAAGCAAGAATAATTTCAATAGCACTCAACCAGATGTTGAACTACAGCTATTAGGGGCTTATCTTGGGTAGAAATGAAAATACAGATGACAAAATTTCAGTCATCCTGTCAACAAAGTTGTTTACGGGGAAAAAGACTAGTACCCAATTGCAATAACCTTGTTAATCGCAAGAATTTAAAACATTCATTGGAGTAGGTCGAGCGATATATCATATATCATATTGAAGCTTTTTCAGCCGTGAATCGATCGACATTGAAAAAGCTTCAAAAAGTTTTCCCAATGTCCGGTATGAGTTTTATTTCGAGCGAATAAAGCGAGCAAGTACGTCTCAAAATAATAACTTCAGCGCTTTTTTATGCGGTTTAAATATATGAATGCTTCATACAGCGCTTCCTCGGCATTAAAACAGCTTCTTAAACCATCAAAAAATGGAACAACTTCAAAAAATGTTTTTTATTCTGTTCCAAATATTTTGATCCCACCCGTAGGTGATTAAACTTTATTCCTGTTATGAGCTTTCGTCTTGTTCCTCGCATCACTCCACGGACATAATAAACACTTGCAAAACAGTTTGTTTTCGAATTTTTTAATGTGGTCGGAATTTTCTGTGCTACTTACATATCAACTGGATCTTCTTGTTATTATTAGATCTTGCACAGTGAAAAACTGGAAATGAGTTACCAGACACTGATAATAGTCGAAGAGCGAAGCTAAGCCATACGCATTGACGTACGCATTGAGTAAAAGCAGGTCTCAAAAATGTCCTATGCAATGTGCTTGGAGTGGAAACTTGGGACGTAGGAAGTGCGAAACGTCGTTGGAAGTATAAAGGAAACAGTTAGAGCTCGATGATCAGCTTAAGTATCGTTACCAAACTGAAACTAGTTAAAGAAAAGAGAGCCGAGCTATGGCTACACTCATCTCTGGTCGCAAGAACGCAATGACTCAATAGAAGCACAAACACACAGACAGACAGACATCACAATTATGCAAATGACAGACATTTATGTAAGGGAAACTCTTTTCCTCCATCAATTCCCCTCAACTTGTCAGATTGCTAGTAGTAACAATTCTACAAACTTTCTCATTTCTGACAACATGGAAAAAAATGCTGCCGTTAATTTCACAACAAAACGTTACCATAATCAAGGACACTTTCCAGCTATGCCCTGCATTTTTTCCATTTTAAACTAATCGCATTCCGACCAGTGACTTTTATCCTCCTTTTCGGTTAGCATTATAAAGCATCCATCGCGAAAAAACCGCGTGGCTTTGACATGTTCGATTGGACATCCTACTCCCGGTCGATGGCTTATTGATTTGAAAAGGCCACTTTCAACTAGGTCATTCAGCCACAATTAAACAGAGGAAAGCATTCAGCGAATTGCATAACTTCAATTTCCGACACATGAACGTTTGATTAAGCAACCATCGCGAACGCAATGACCGAGAGTAGGATGTCCAATCGAACATGTCAAAGCAACATGGTATTTTTGCGATGGCTGCTCAAAAATGTCCTTGGCAATGTCCTTGGAGTCGAAACTTGGGACGTATTGTGCCCTGCTGTGAAGAAAAAAACATCGCTGCCAAACTGTTGTCTTGATTTGAATTTGACATCAAATGGTCAGGAATGACTGAGAACTAACTTCTTTTAACCACAATATTGGAGATCAAGAAAGGAAAACATCGCTAAGTCGCTCGCTAATCAAGCAAAAATCCTGCTACATTACATAAATTCGAAAAAACTACCTGTAGTTAAGCTCGACCTGACATTCAAATTGCTTGATGTTTCAAACCATCAATTCTAAGCTTTGATTAAATCAACAAATTATGTGATTGTTTAGCAATTGTAGAATACAAATTGAGCAACAATCCAATCTAAGTTTGCAAAGCTAACATATTTCCAATTCACTAACTTCATTTCATTGATTTCGTAGACTCGAAATTATCGATAAATTACTTGCAAATTTACCATAATCCAATTGCTTTATTGAGCAGCCCATTCGATATCAATGTAGGCTATTAACAACAGAAACCGATTCTAACTCATATCATTGGTCCGTCCACTGAAAGTGTGTAGGGAACAACGTCTTGGGGTGTTTTATAATTTTTACCATTTTTTCCTGAGCTTCACGCCACTTGCGATACAAAACAAAGCGCCCAAAGTCAGAAGATAATATCTTTCAAACGAAAAGTGAAAAACTTGAATGAGTTTCGAAGAAATCGTAGGCTAGAAAATCAAGAAAAACCTTATTGCAGTTATTATAGAAATCATTTACCTGAAACCAAAGAAGGATTCGGGGTTAACTCCATCCAATTCGTTCTCAGAACCAATAGATGGAAACGATAAGATGAATTTCGATCAAAAAATGAGACGCATACACCCTTAGCTGTACTCAAAAACTGTTCATTAAGTTTTGCAGCCAAACAGCCTGCATATACAACAGGAACAATCGGGGATAAAAAGACCCTATACGCTATTGCATAAGATCAAAATGAAAAAAAAAAATGAAAGATACAAACAACTGCCACGAAACAGAACTTGCAGAAAATCTGAAAAAAAACTCTCAAAGCCTTTACAAATAACCCAATTACATCAGCCTTAACAAATTTGAAAGTTATACGCAACGGTAAAAGAGCTAGCTGGATCAGAACAAGAAATAAATTACATGGAAAAGACGCCAGTTTGGGAAATAAAAACACGAAGTCTTGTTTTTTTTTCAAAAAAGTCGGCCAAACTCCACACTCCAGGGATCCCGTGCGTCACTTGCCGCTATACTAACATGTAAACAAAACAGTTGATACAAACTTGCAAAAAATTCTGAAACGTTATCAATTTTTTTTTGAAAGTTTTTTTGACATGTTGATACAATACGTTAAACCATCAAATTGAAACAATTTCAAATGAAATTTATCAAATCTGAAACGCACTGAACTCATCAAAACTAAAATATACTTCCACGCATTTTAGAACAAAAAAATCAGAAACCAAACATCCGGAAAAAAACTGAAAATTTAATGCAATAAAAAGGTCTAACAGATTTTTTTTTATTTTCTTCTCAAACTGAAAATTTAGCACGTTTAAAAATTGGTAAACTATGAACTATATTTACGTAAATGGAAATTAAGAAAAAGTATTGGAAAACTGTACCAACAAAATTACGGAAGTAAAACACCCGGCAAGAAAGCCGACAAAAAACAGGACGAAACCATAAAAGCCGACAAAACATCAATTTATGCCTAAAAATGTTTCAGCTTTTAAGCAAGAATAATTTCAATAGCACTCAACCAGATGTTGAACTACAGCTATTAGGGGCTTATCTTGGGTAGAAATGAAAATACAGATGACAAAATTTCAGTCATCCTGTCAACAAAGTTGTTTACGGGGAAAAAGACTAGTACCCAATTGCAATAACCTTGTTAATCGCAAGAATTTAAAACATTCATTGGAGTAGGTCGAGCGATATATCATATATCATATTGAAGCTTTTTCAGCCGTGAATCGATCGACATTGAAAAAGCTTCAAAAAGTTTTCCCAATGTCCGGTATGAGTTTTATTTCGAGCGAATAAAGCGAGCAAGTACGTCTCAAAATAATAACTTCAGCGCTTTTTTATGCGGTTTAAATATTTGAATGCTTCATACAGCGCTTCCTCGGCATTAAAACAGCTTCTTAAACCATCAAAAAATGGAACAACTTCAAAAAATGTTTTTTATTCTGTTCCAAATATTTTGATCCCACCCGTAGGTGATTAAACTTTATTCCTGTTATGAGCTTTCGTCTTGTTCCTCGCATCACTCCACGGACATAATAAACACTTGCAAAACAGTTTGTTTTCGAATTTTTTAATGTGGTCGGAATTTTCTGTGCTACTTACATGTCAACTGGATCTTCTTGTTATTATTAGATCTTGCACAGTGAAAAACTGGAAATGAGTTACCAGACACTGATAATAGTCGAAGAGCGAAGCTAAGCCATACGCATTGACGTACGCATTGAGTAAAAGCAGGTCTCAAAAATGTCCTATGCAATGTGCTTGGAGTGGAAACTTGGGACGTAGGAAGTGCGAAACGTCGTTGGAAGTATAAAGGAAACAGTTAGAGCTCGATGATCAGCTTAAGTATCGTTACCAAACTGAAACTAGTTAAAGAAAAGAGAGCCGAGCTATGGCTACACTCATCTCTCGTCGCAAGAACGCAATGACTCAATAGAAGCACAAACACACAGACAGACAGACATCACAATTATGCAAATGACAGACATTTATGTAAGGGAAACTCTTTTCCTCCATCAATTCCCCTCAACTTGTCAGATTGCTAGTAGTAACAATTCTACAAACTTTCTCATTTCTGACAACATGGAAAAAAATGCTGCCGTTAATTTCACAACAAAACGTTACCATAATCAAGGACACTTTCCAGCTATGCCCTGCATTTTTTCCATTTTAAACTAATCGCATTCCGACCAGTGACTTTTATCCTCCTTTTCGGTTAGCATTATAAAGCATCCATCGCGAAAAAACCGCGTGGCTTTGACATGTTCGATTGGACATCCTACTCCCGGTCGATGGCTTATTGATTTGAAAAGGCCACTTTCAACTAGGTCATTCAGCCACAATTAAACAGAGGAAAGCATTCAGCGAATTGCATAACTTCAATTTCCGACACATGAACGTTTGATTAAGCAACCATCGCGAACGCAATGACCGAGAGTAGGATGTCCAATCGAACATGTCAAAGCAACATGGTATTTTTGCGATGGCTGCTCAAAAATGTCCTTGGCAATGTCCTTGGAGTCGAAACTTGGGACGTATTGTGCCCTGCTGGGAAGCAAAAAACATCGCTGCCAAACTGTTGTCTTGATTTGAATTTGACCTCAAAAGGTCAGGAATGACTGAGAACTAACTTCTTTTAACCACAATATTGGAAATCAAGAAAGGAAAACATCGCAAAGTCGCTCGCTAATCAAGCAAAAATCCTGCTACATTACATAAATTCGAAAAAACTACCTGTAGTTAAGCTCGACCTGACATTCACATTGCTTCATGTTTCAAACTATCAATTCTAAGCTTTGATTGAATCAACAAATTATGTTGTGACTGTTTAGCAATTGTAGAATACAAATTGAGCAACAATCCAATCTAAGTTTGCAAAGCTAACATATTTCCAATTCACTAACTTCATTTCATTGATTTCGTAGACTCGAAATTATCGATAAATTACTTGCAAATTTACCATAATCCAGCTAATCTAATTGATCACAATCAAATCGAGAGCAAGCTTTCAAATATGGATATGTTGGAAGTGACTGTGGGAATGACTGGAATTTTCACCTTGGTCGCCCTTCTTGGTTCAGTTATCGCTGGCATCCTCATCAAGGAAGGCTACATCAGAAAGTAACTTCCACACTTCCAGCACATCTTTTCATGACCAGACTAATCCAAATGCTTCCTTCTTTCTTTATGTTTTAGACAAGTTCAAGTGGGATTGATTCTCACAGCAATATGGATGTACATGTTGTAAGTTCACCTCTTTATTTCTCCTATTCCACATTATTTGAATCAAAATTGAAACAGTTTGTCCTTCATACCAACCACTCATTTATCTAGATCCAAAAAAAGAAACTTCGAAAGAAAAGCTAGATCGAAAAAAAATGGAAAAACTCCTGCCATTCAGCGAGAAAAAACGGCCAACATTGTAAAATTAAGACCACTCTGAGATGGACCGGAAAATTATATTCAAATTCAACTATAAACTTAAAATGCGGTGGCAAAAAAATATGTCCGTTGGTTTGCAATGTTTTCCAGTTCACCAAGTATAGGGTTTTGATCAAGTATTGAAGTCGCATTAATCACAAACAATCTGAAAATGCACAAAGTACTCAAAATGAAATAAAACCTACTTTGTTTTGTTTTGAAATTGCGATGGTGTAATTTCGGAGTTGATCCCGCTGCGTATTTAGTTTCCGAAGACGTTGATTCTGAACAATCCGCCAAAAGTTTCATACAAGAATACTTGAACGCCCAAACTGAACTTCTGAAATCAATTCTGAATTTGATTAATCAGATGATAACACTACTTTCAGATTTCCGCATTTTCTACCGATTTCTACGAGAGGCATTCTTTACGATCGCTTTTAGTACATCAACTATCTCTAATGTGTAGAGTAACTGCTTGAAATTAATAATATAGACGACAGTCAGCCTAAAAAAGGTCAATGAAATCAAGGAGACCGAAAAAAAACAAGGGTAACCGGTTGCTGTGCAAATGGGACAGCATGTTGTTCCTACCTTATTCATAAAAAAACTAGTTTTTTCTTCAAATGTGTGTTGTTTTTCCAGCTTTGTATTTCCTAATTGTTCCGAACATTTGAAAAAGGTGGAGGAGCTTTGTATACGGTTGTCTTTTAGTTTTTTTTCTTTTCCACAACAGATCAGGTACTACTATTAATCATCGGAACAGTTTGAGTGATATATCATATTAAAACCCTTTGTCGTGATTCGACCAAAATTTAAAAAATTCCAAAACTTTTTCCCAGTGTTGAGATCAATTGGTTCAAATTTTCGAATTTTAGTCCAATTTCGAGCGAATGATGCTATCGAGTAACGTTCGGTATATATAAAAATTGGCCATTTAAACTAAACAAACTTGATTTTTCTTTAAAAAATCAGCTTTGGAAGTTTCATTGAGCGCTTTGTAACCCGGGTTGAGCTCACACTGAAAATAAGCGATGAAAAAGTGAAAAATCAGCGATCGCCATCGATGATTTATCGCTGTTCATTGCCACAATAGCACATTTTATCAATAATTATCGCTAAATTGGCTTATTTTCAGCGATTAAACAGCGATAAAAACCTATCAAAATGAGAAAAATTAGAGCTTTATCAGGGGTTAGATACCCTAACCTTGAGATTTATAGACCTGTATTCTACCTCTAAGCTATCAATCTTGAAAGAATGTAAAGCTAAAGAGCTTTTAACCTATAACTCTCATTTGAAAGCTTCTGGAATTAGCTAAAATTTCTCAAGTTTTAGCGTAGATTTTCTACGGAATCATTACTGAAACAGCTCTGAAAAATCGCAGGTTTATCTAAGCAAAAAACTCTGAATTATACATGAATCAGCGCTGGAAAATAGCGATCACTGGAATACAACAGAAAAAGCTATAGTTAATGGTGGGACTTCAACCCAGGAAGACATTTGTAGTATTTCAAGCTAAACCATTGAGTTTCCACGCGTTTGTATAGTTCTAAAATCACACCACGCAGAAGGAACGGCGTTAAATTGAAGAAGTTTTTTGTGTCGTTTAAAGCGCTTTCTTGTAATTTCTTTAAAAATTTTCATACAAAAACAATTGTAGTATTTCATGCTTGATCACTATTTTTCTACACGTTCGTATAGTTTTTTGGTAGTTTTTTACGAGTCTGGTTGGAACATTCTGTGCTACTTGCACACCAACCGGCTATCCTTGTTTTCATTTGTATTTCTTGCTTAATATTTTTTTTTTGTGAATTCCTCTTAAGAGTAACTAACTCTTATACTACTACTGCTACTACTACTCGACAACAGTTGTCTTCAAAAAATAAAAATAAACAAACTATTTTTTTGAATTTTTTTGCAGAAGTCTTTGTTGATTTTTCAAAAAATTTTATTGCCAAGGACTCGGTAAATGAAGCTTACAAACATAATTTTCTTGAAACACACATATTTTTTTAATGAAGACCTAATCGCTCGGAATTAGACTAAAACTCAAAATTGACGAACCGGTTTTTCACGCCACTAGGAAAATATCTGAAAAGTTTGAATGTCAAACGAATCATTGCTGAAAGGGCTGTAGTAGGATATATCATTCGGTTCATTCCTATAATTTTTTGTGGGAACTTAATGTTGCATGGAAAACAAAAAAAAACTTGCCCGAAACTTGCAAAAGTGAACGAATTGATTTTAAAAAAATCATATTAACTCCCACCGCAAAAAATTCCAATTGAGCGTGAACAAAGTTTGAGATTTTTGCCTTAAAAAGAAAACACGTGCCGTAAACATGTCTTCAATTCGTTCATTGACACTTAAAAGGATATTTTATGAGAAATGACTCAGGTGGTGCAATAACTTAACAACATGAATGCTCTTTCGAGGTCAGCTTCAGCAGAAGCCGATGGTGGTCTGTTGTCCGCCTAATTCCTAATTATGATTAATTGATGTATACAAATCTCAATTCAGGTTATTACCTTAGCCTCGTTCATCACTTTTGACCATTCCTGTGCAACAATCAACATCAAATAGAACATATATTAAAAGGTATCGTGCATGTGTCACCTTTTATTAGAGAACAATATATTAGATGGAATCGCAACTCTTCCTGATGATTATTGATTGGTCTTTTTCAATCCAAAAGTTCATTTGACGTTAGGGAGACATGGGATTGCATGATGGATGTACAATGATGAGGTGTTTGTGGTGCGGCTCCAATAGAAATCCAATTTGACTGTGAAGGCTATCGATTAGCTTGATCACCTGCTTAGATAAAGCACAAGCCATACATATCAACTTGACTTTCATAACAGCACAACTAATTGCAATGACCAACTTTTTCACACAAAACAATGCGCTACTTTTTCATTGCAAAGGAAAACCATTCAGATTGATAAGTATATTCTATAAAATAGGTAGATGAAAAGTGTACTAGGCCTTGTGAAGAAGACTTGTGTGAAATTGGTTCTATGACTAGCTGTTAGCTGACCCCATTTCTATACTGCACCCTTGCTATCCTATAACTATATCACTTCGATCCACAATTTAAACACAGGCATTTAAAAGACAGGCAAACTCAATCTAATGGGCACAAATTTATTTACGCTTTTGACAAACGACACGAATTTTTTCTCGTTCCAAAATGTTGTTTATCTACATAACTCGTAGTGAATTGAAATTAAACCAGCCGTATTAAAGGAAGATATCACAACCAGTTCCATAGATTTTTTGAAGTTGCACTATGTAAAGTCAGCACTATATTACTGAGTTTTGAAACTCCTAATTGTGAACTCCGAGGCCAGTAAACACTGACTTGTGTAGCTTACATGCTAGTTTTTTTCTAGCTTCTGTACAGAGCAAAACAGTATTGCCTCGATTTCCATTTTCACTGAACTTTATGATTTAGCTGGCTGTGTGTGTACTTGCAACAAACGAACCCACTCGTTGCACCTGATCTCAAAGTGTCCACCGCTCAAGCCATCATGCTCTTCTGGAAGGGAAATCCAGTAGCAAATGGCAGCAGCAGCGCCGCCGCCGCCGCCGCCGCCGCCGCCGCCGCCGAGTACTCATCACCCGAAGTGGAATATATACAAATGGATCAGTAGAGAGAAACCTTTCATCTTATTATCTACATTGAATTCATCAATTGAAACTTTCATTCAAAATCAGACAAAAATCCTGAGAAAGTCATTATAAATTTGCAGGCTTTTCTATTAACTACACTTTCAGTAGCTATTAAGTACTGTAAAAATATAAACAGTAATATAAACTCTAGGCTCTCTTGTCTTCATTTGAGCCTTTCCGCCTGAAAGAGTTCAAATTTAAAGAACTGTGGCTTTAGTTTAGAGCAATCACGTCTAGCCTTATTAGCAAAAACCATGAAAAGGACTTTATAACCGCCCTTGACATGCCAAAACAGCTCAAACACTGCATATTTTTGCTCGGTGCCAAAATGAGCCCGATATAAACCACTGTGTTTAAATTCGAAACAGTAGCGCGAAACTGTCCGATACAAATACAATCTTAAATAATGGGTCGGATGTTTCTTAAATTTTTGAAAAAATTGTCAGCCTTTTGTTTTTAAGGACTACCAAATTGATTTTTCGAGCCCTTGAAAGAGACCATATTTCGTCAATATGATATGCACTGCAGTCTAACCATGGAAAAAAAACAGACCAAAAATGACCCTTTATTAGAGCACTAATTGGAAGGTTTTGAACAAAAAATGCTTTTCTTAGCCTCCGCTACCCTCTAGTCACTAATGGCGCTTAAGCCCTTTTAGAATGGTTGGTAAGAAGGCTGGTCAGAAAGGTTAGAAAAAGGATATCATAAAATAGTACCAAATAAGGAATCTTTTGGGTGTGAGGATATCGAACCCTTCGTCATCCTTCCTGACTGATACGACTGCTCTGTTACGTCTATGGGATAGTTTTAAGAAAAAACTGATTAAAATTTCACAGAATTAAATTTTCACAGATTTTTTTTAATCATCCCTATACGCTATATGAAGTAGAAAAATGATATTACGCTCATAGCAAAGAATAATAAGACCAAACAGCGTACCTCAATTCAATTTTAAACAAGTTCTTAGCCCGATTATTTCGCCGATTACGCGTAATAAAACATTCTATATCACGAGTAAGTTATCCCAAATTGGCAAAATTACCAATTTTCATATCCATATCTTCACAAAAAATTATTACACCAAAAAACAAATACATATTTTTAAATTTTGAAATCAGGACATTGACACCTTTCAGATGGCATAAAAATCTTCGAAAAAAGGGCTCGGTAAAAACAGTCGAAATTTGTCTGATGATAAGAAAAATATCAATACCATCCAAATCTCAGCAAATTTCCGGAATATTTACAATTCCGTATGGAAAAATTTTCAAAAACCTTGGCGAATAGGTCAGAACAGACATTTAAACGCAGATGTGAAGCTTCATAAAAAAACTGCAAGGATTTCTTAAAATTTGCAAATCGCAGGAGTAATTATAGAAACTACTAGCTTCCTTTAGCAGTGCTTGGTTTATTTTAGCTTTGAAATTCGAACTAATTTGAATTCAAAAATATGATAACAGAAACCCAACACTTAAATACGCGACTTACATCAGAAAATATAGCCAACGGATAGTTGGAAAGGTGCAAATGAACGCAAGAAAACCGAACAAAAACTGACTTGTTTTTTTCATGAAATTCGAAATTTCAAGGAAGAGCTATAGGGCTTTGACGCTCTTTGAATTTAAAGCATATTGAAAATTAAAATGATTAACAATGTTTTAGGAAAAAATGACAGTTTGAAAAAACTGGATCAATACGTATTTTTTTGCGCTGCGAATTCAGAAAAATCACAGACTTTTTTAAAATTAGCAGTCATTCACGTTTGACGTGACCTTTAAAAAGAGTTTGAATTCAACTAAAAAAAAACAATCAAAAATCAAACCGCAAAAAAATCACATTTGGCGTGAACAAAACTTAAAACTTACTGAAAACAAAACGAGAAAAAATTAACTCGACCTGCCAAAGTGACTTCAATACGTTCATTGACACTTCAAAAAATGATTAGCAAAACATCTCATGTAAAACATCAAAACTTATCTCAAATATCTCATTTGAAACTCCGGCCATTGAATGAAACATATTTGAAACAGAGGGTATGAGGAGCTTCGCATCACTTGCGATACAAAAAAGCATACCCTTGCCACCTGCTGAATGGTCAGTAGGATGGAAATATTTCAGTGAAAAAAAACCTTAAAAAACTGGAAATACGGAAAATTCAATCGCAGAAAAACCGACGAAACACAGCCACTAGCATTAAGCAAGCTTTTATTTTTTCTGGAGCGACCATAAAACCAACAACACTTGCTTAGACGATAATTGATTCGAAAACAAAAAATACCAAAGAAAATGGTTGACATACATTTTTTGGAAGTACGCAAAACTCAATCTCTGAAAAACAGACGAGAAATGCAGCTACTAGCATTAAGTAAGCTGATAGTATTTTTCAAGCGTTCATTAAGACGACAATACAGGGTTAGACGCTAATTAAACAGAAAACAAGAAATGTAGAAGGAAAAGGTCACAAAAAAATTTTGAGCGATTAAAAGGTTTGAACTTTTAATTGTTATACTACCAGCCGACCTCATATAAAAAACATGAATCAATGATGCAAAATAAGTTCAATAAACCGACAAAACAAGAGCCAAAATCATTTGGGCCGAATAAAATTTCTAAGCGAAACCAAAAACGCAAAAAAAACATACCAGTCAGGTATAGTAATTTAAAAAAACTACCCTTGAGCTTATCAGTGACACTCGGAATTTTAAAGACAATTGATTACAGTGCAAAAGAAATGTTGGTTGGCAACTAAGCCAACAAAACATGAGCCGACAAATTATAATCCGACTAATCAATTTTTCCCAGAAAAAAATCAAATTCAGACACTAAAAAAAACACGGTCCGACTGCTCACTGACCAATGAGTTTTTGATGCCAAATATTTAAGGTTTAAAAACAGGTGCTGACCGGATTTGAGCGTAGTCCCTTAGCCGTCTACCAGTTTTCGTACCAGGTAGTAACTTTTGAACTTTCAAAAAATTGAGAATGTTTGCTCCAGAATCTATATCTACAAAAAAAATTCTGATTTGATAATGCTTGCTAATCGCAAGCGTAAAAACAAAAAACTATATTAAACAATGATAGCCTGTTGCAGTGCAAGCAGCACAGAAAATTCAAACCACCATAATAAAAAACTAAATAAAAAAAACAGCTCCATTTTTTTCAAATTGAGCCATTTTTTGTAAGTGTTGCAATGAAAAGCTTCTGAATCCCACAAATCAGGCATACTTAATAGAAAGAAAAAATGGGACATACTCGAAAACAGTTTCCACGAAAACAGAAAAGAAACAAAAAAAATCAAAAACTTCGAATTTTGAAAGAAATTTGCCAAGAAAGCGCTCAAAGTATCTTCAAAGCAAATTCCTGGAGTAAAACTAAGTTTTCATGACTAAGCTTGAATTGCAAGACTACTAAATAGAAGCGAAGCGGAGCTTCACATCACTCGGACACAGCACAAACATAAACATAAGAAGTCAAAAAAACTAGGTATACCAAACTTTAAAGTTATAATTGTCCCGATAGAAGTCCATTCTTGGCAAACAGGCCAGACATTTGAAGGTTAAACTAGCAAATGAATTAAACTTGAAAAGAGTAAACAAAGCCGATAATCTTTTAGCAGGCACAAGTTGAGCCCAAAAAAAAAGATTTTACAAAAAATCTTTATAAAATTTCAAGTCCCTCTTGAAACAACAATGAACAACACTTGCAATTGCAACAACAATGAAAATTGCTAACAGAGCAAGAAAAAACTGCGATGTGGGAACGAGCCGACGATCTTTGAGCAGACACCAATTGAACCGGCAAAAAATAAATAAAATTTTTTAAACAGTTTCAAATTGCCCCTGAAACTCCTTTGAACAACACTGGCACTTGTAACTAAAATGAAAGTGCCGGCAAATGCAGCAAAAAAAGCAGTTCAGCTGTTAAAAACTGCCTCTAAAACATACATTTTATGAGAAAATATTTCATAAGTAGACGCTTTTTGCGCTGAAAATATTTATGACGAAAATTCAAATTTTTCATGTTGTTCTTGGTCTTGTCTTGATCGTTCTTACATACTTCTTGATATTAACTACATCAAAACATACAGTTGAAAATATTATAAAGTCCAGAAATGAATATAAAAGAAGATCATCACAAAGAAGATTCCTGTGAATTTTCAGCGTTAACTTATGATATTTGCATGCTTCTGAAGCTTAATACGCTCAGTCGAGAAGAATTCCGTCACACACAAAACACTTCCTTACTACAACACTTTAAGGATCTAATTTTAAACAACTAAGTCATCACTTGCGAATTAAAACAAGCGCAGCATTGCAAGCTAGCGAATAAAAAATCAGAAGAAATTACAATATCGAAAAAAATGTATACATTTATTTTGAAAAATGAAAAGAATAATTTCAGAAAAACAGTCAAGAAACACAACGAACAGCATTAAACCAGCGTATAGTTTTTAACGAAGGAACATACAGCCGATAAAAGCTAGATACACTCCTTTTGAGTCGAAAACAAAAAATGCCATAAGCATAGGAAAGTGCTGTCATAAAAAGAGCAGTTTAGTTTCAAAAACTTTCAACTTTTTTAAAACAAGCGACCTGGGCTTGTTTCAAAACAACAATCAATTTTGCCCTTCAAGCAAAATAAGTTGACTAAGCCAATACAAACAAGCCATTTAGCTTGAATAAAACTTTTGAGCGATAAAAAAAATGAAAATATACTACGTCAGGGCTAGTTAATTTACAAATAACATGAGTACATCAAAAACACTTTCATCTACAATAAAAATTGCTGACATCACAGAAAATTCAGCGATATGGCAACTAAGTCGTCAAAACCTCAGCAGACAAACGAGGGTTCGACCATTCAATTTTTCCCGGAAAATTTTTCACAATTTCATACATACTGATAAAAACAAGGTCCGGTCGGGACTCGAACCCCAGACCTTAGGTTACCTCTAGACCAAGTGGGAAGGATTGTCTAAGTTGGTAAAGTTCATAAATAAAAAAAAAACTTTAATTTCTTACAATTTGGAAGAAAAATTGCTTACGGGAAAATTCTAGTTCCCAATAACAAGAAACTTGCTGTTGCAAGTGTAAATAAAGTTTTTAACGAACACAAACTTTTTATCCACTTCAATACTTTTTTCGGTTAAATCTTGAGAGCATAAACTTCTTGAACACCCTGTGGAAGCTTAGGACGATGCAATTTATCAAAACTACCATCAGCAACCAATTCGCGTCTTGTTCAGACAAAAAAAACGTTATCTAATGTTTTTGGTTGAAATACTACAAAAAAAACATGCGCCGAAGTGGTGTTTCATACATCCGCAAAAATGGCAGTTTTTGACAAGTGGCCATTCAGCATTTAAGCACAGTTTGAAGAAACCTTCAGAAAACTGCGGCCCTATGAACTCTGCTTTCGCAGGTAAAAAAAGCTTTGGAGTCGAAGCTCAATAGTATGCGAACGAAAGAGGTCAAACTGAGAACTCTATCGTCAGACGATAAAACATGAAAAATTACACACACCTTAAATAAAAAACATTCCACTACACTCGGTGCAATTAACAAATCCTCTTCAACTTGTACCTAGAACTATTAACAATAACTAAAAACAGACAATTACGAAACAGTCTGATTTTAAGGGTTTCTAATTTTTAAGGGTTAAGGGAGTTTAAGGGTTTCTGTTTCACGTCACAACAACTGCCTGTTGCTTTTGTATGGCTATTTCTTTGTTCTACTTCCTCATATCCCAAAGAACTGTCAAAGTAAACAGGAGTACATTACAGCAAGCTCAATGGGGGATTTTTAATTAGAGATCCTTTTCTCTCAGCAGATTCAAAAAGCGAGGCCAGAATTTTAAATCAAAATATAGGTACCAAGGGTATTTGATATTCTATCAGGTGTAATATACGGGAATATGCAATGATAAAAAATGAATTTGTCGAATTGTGCCGAAACAAGCCACAACGCCACTCACTTTTTTCAAACTCAGCTGCATTTCATTTTGTCTAAGCGAAGTCGTCTTCGAAGGCAAGTCAGTCGCAAACAAACATCTTTTCTCCTGGGTGCCAACAAGATCTGTCACCACTAAGTTCAGTACAATGAATTTGTTTTGCTTAAACTTTATAAACATGTTACAAATCTAGTCAAACAGTTTTACACTGCGAAGTTCTATCGAATACAAAAAATTATTTGTCATTGACACATGAAAACTACGCATGATTTCATTACAACCAATGTCCGTGAAAATCGAACCGGTCATACAAACAAAAGAGAGTAAAACGACCCTCAAATAAAATAATGCCATAATTTTTGTACAAAATAAAATACCGCTTCCTAATCGAAAGCGTAGTATGACCGCAGCATTAACTATTCATTGAAGTTTTAAGCTGCGGTGCGTGTCTACTTTAACGACAGCGCAAAATTTTCCAAAAAGTGCGTCTGAAAATTTCGTTAGCATAAGCGTATAGTCCCGGGTTGAACAACGAGTTGATATAGCACAACCCATAAGACGTGTAGAAAACTCCATTAGGTATCAAGGTGCCGTCGAAACTTAGGACAATGACGAAGACGGCGTAAGGAGTCCAGCAAATAATGAAAGAGGACAGAACTGCAGTCAAGACTCGCATCGCTTTCGAGTTGCCTTTCTGTTGATTTACTTGTGGCTTCGGCGGCTGCTGCGAGCAGCTCACTTTCAGACTCGGCTCTTCGACTGTTACGAAGGTCGAACAGCTAGTCATCGCAGTAGACGTGGTAGTCGCTGGGGATGTCGAAGTGTCCCCGTCATTATTTTTATGGCCGTTCAACGCAGAAATATCCAAGAACAAACCTCCATTCGGCTTTTTCAGAAGATCGTCACTCTTGGCCGAATTAATCTCGGCTGCAGCACAGCCTTTTGGAATCATCGTTTCGGCTTCTGCTTTTTTCTCATCCTCCGAATCGTTTTCGTCATCCGAATCCGAGCTGGTGTCTGCGTTGTTCTTACTCTGTTTCCCTTTTTTCGTCGTCACATTAACTAGACTTTTAAGAGGAGGCGAAACAGAGGTTGCGTTGTTAGGTACACTTCGAGTGCGCTTCTTCCTCCAGAAGAACTTGGTAATTTTGTATATTTTGTAGTAGAGGATGAGAATGGCGACAATGATCGCCCAGTAGTTGATCACAGTGGACACTATGGTGAAGAAGGGGTCGTCGTAGTAGTGCACGTAGCACTTCTCCGGCTCAATGTCTCTCGCTCCAAACTGATGAATGGCGAATATTCCGATGCCATACAGTAGAATGGGGATGAGCCAGGTGGGAATGATGAGGGAGAAGACGACCACTGTGCTCATGAAACGCCGGTATGTGATTGGATAGGCGAGTGACCAATAGCGATCCACGCATATCACCAAAATGGAGAGACAACTGCTCGTACACATTGTGTAGTCCAGGGTCAGCCACAGGTCGCAAATCACGGGTCCGAAACGCCATCGACCTCAAATAGAAATAATGACGTCATTCAAATTTCACATCACACCAAAGATCGCACTTGGCCTTTGAAAACATTGACAACATGCAATCGAAGCAACTCCGAAAAGCTGTGCGATTTAAGACGACAATAAAAACCAAATCTCCTTTAAAGTCCTATCTTACACATACTATGACCCCCTCCCTATCTAATGCTGTGCATAAAAAATCGCTAACTCTGGTTGCAAAAAAAATAAACGGTACACTTGGTCTGAAAGGGCTTATTTATCATTTAGGTGTTACTTATTCTCAGCTCTGATTTATCAGAACCAGAATTATCACAAAAACTATTGCATTGCGCCTGTTTCACATATTTAAACGGCCAATATTAGCTGAAGAATTTTAAAACGCATATTTCGGATTTGTGTCATTTGCCAGACGGAGACAGGAAATATATTACCAATTTCTGGAGCCAAAAGCTTCAAAGAGTAAAGGTAAATGTGGAAGTATCTTTCTTGTCGTCTCAGCTTCACTGCATTAATCTTGATCCAACATGTTTCTGCTCTAAGTAGCCACTGTTGGGTTTTGATCATGGGGTAAGCGAAGTGGAACAATTAGAAAAACATCTACGGCTTAATTCGACTCAGACGTCTTTCAAAATGGTTTGCACAAGTTTTGCCGGTAGTCTACTATGACAAAACAACCATGAATATTTTCCGAGCAAACAAACAAGAATTTATTTCAAAAGTAGGATTGAAAACAGTGTAACATGGCAATCAGCAAACAACTTAGCAATCAAGTTATCCCCTACCGGCTAGGGAAAATAAACGCAAAAGGAATCAACCAATTTTTTAAAGCAGTCACCCTATAAATCCCCTGAAAACGACCCAGATCAATTCAATTTCTGCCGAAACACAGTTGGCGGAGGTGGCGTCCCTCATGACGGAGGGCCCGAAACACGACCCACAGGATTCTGCTAGCAACAGAATTTGGCAGAATAGGCAAATTTTGGCTTATAGAGCAGAATGTTCCAAAGAGCAGCAGAACGAGCAGAACTTCAATCATACGGCAGAATTTGTCGACTTTTCTCAAGATCTTTTCTAAATCATAAAATGAATGCAGCCTGTTGAACTGGCAAACTTTATCATTTTGTGAATCAAAAGAATCCAAATAACGAAAAATGCTGACCGTATATTTATAAGCGCATTAGATTATTAGATTGATCTCACACCGCACATACATTAAAATAATTAATATCGAAACTTGAAAATAAGATTCAATTTTAAAAAATGTTTAAAAATATCTGTATATGCATTTGTGACCCTTTGGTACATAATGCTTTATATCAACTTACGCATCCTAGCTTACCTTTCCCAAATCTGTGCCTTAAGAGAAAAAATAATAATATAATTTCTGTTGCATACTATTGACATGTGATTGCTTGCAAAAGAGCTCAAGACCTCCAAGGCTAGGAAATTGAGACAAAAAGTCTGGGTAGAGCTTCAGACACACGTGAAAAAGCCGAAAATTGGCATGAAGTATGATGCGCAGGATTGATGAATGAAGAATTGCAATACATGAGGGTTACGAATTTAGACAAGCAAAGTAGACATCAGAAAATACGGAATTTAGACGATAACGTGCGTGCAAATTGCGTAAAGTTTGTTTACAAATAGATCAACTTTTGGTTGAGTAAATACTGGTTGTCCAACAACAAATCAGGTTATTAATCTCAGTTGTATAACTAATGCATTTCAAAAATATTAAGTAATTTTTCGATTTAATAATTTATAATTAACTTACAAATAAAGGGAGCCAGCAGCCATATTTTAATTGCTTAAAAGGGTACAAAAACTTAGTTTTACTTGAGTAATGCTAGTTTACTTTGAGTATGTTAGCGCCTTTTTGGAATCAAAATTTTCAAGTAAATTTTCTACAAAACTTGTTTTTCAATTTGCTTATTTTACTATGACTGTCAAATATACCAAACCCCCACTTTTTTGTTCCGCTCCCTTTACCACAATGCGCCGAAACAAAACGACAATAATTTGAAAGAACTTCGTTGTATTAATTTAAGACTATGGTCGGAACATTCTGTGCTACTTGCACAAAATCCGGCTATCCTTGTTTTCCACGCAAAATCAGGTACCACAAACAGACATCGGTATGGGTCAAGCGATATATCATGCTTAATTAAGGCCGTTTACAATAGCTTACTTATGATTAATTTTAGTTTTATTCGAGTAGAATCAAATGTTGAGAATTTCAGCAAAAAAAAAACAAAAAAACATTTTTTAAATGTATTATATTTTTTTGTTTTTCTTATCATTTTTTTTCAAAAACTGTTATCCAGTTTGCCTGTATTACTATCACTATTAAGACTATGGTCGGAACATTGTGCTACTTGCACAATACCCAGCTAACCTTGTTTTGTTTGTGAATTGAACTAAGAAACTATAACAGGCCACTACTTTGTTCTGAAATTAGAGCTCAGCAACATTTTCAAACAGTTTCTGCTAATATTAGGCAAGAGATACTATCTTTCGGCTCAATTTTCTCATACAAACTATATATTCTACATTTAAGGATACGAGTGAAACGAAAGTATTCGAACAATTCTCAATCAAATTCCTGCTTCAACCAAAATCAAATCATTAACAAGGATACCCGGTTATTGTGTAAGTAAAACCGGGTGCAAGTAAAACCCAAAATTGCGCTAAAAAACTACCTTTACTTGAGTCAAACTAAAATTTAACGGCTTGAATTAAGCTTAAATCAGCTATTGCAATTACTAACTACCTTACTAATTAGCCCGAAATAGGACCAAAAATCATAAATTTCAAACCGGTTTTTCTCGACAAGAAAAACTTTTTTGAAATTTTTTAATGTCGAATTACGACTGAAAAGGCTTTACCATAATATATAACTCCACCCAGGCCCGATGATTATTCGTGGTAGCTGAGTTTGCGTGGAAAACAAAAAAATGAAAACACACGAATCCAAAGTTTCCGGAAAAATAATTATCTAGCTCAATTTCTTTTCAGCCTGCCGTTCGAAGTCATATTAAAAACATAAATAAACAAGGATAGCCGGTTACTGTGCAAGTAGCAGAGCATGTTCCGACCAGTCTTAAAAAATGTTTTCTCAACTTGGTGTCATTTTTTCCTGCATGTTGTGATTAAAAAATCTGAACAAAAAAAAATTAGGCATATTTGAGAGTCATAGTAAAACAAGTTCAATTGGAAAACCGTTTTTGAAAGAAATTACTAAAAAAACGAAAAAAAATTTAAAAAATTTCGAAAAAAAAATGTTCGGCTAGTTTACTTTGAGTATGTTAGCGCCTTTTTGGAATCAAAATTTTCAAGTAAATTTTCTACAAAACTTGTTTTTCAATTTGCTTATTTTACTATGACTGTCAAATATACCAAACCCCCACTTTTTTGTTCCGCTCCCTTTACCACAATGCGCCGAAACAAAACGACAATAATTTGAAAGAACTTCGTTGTATTAATTTAAGACTATGGTCGGAACATTCTGTGCTACTTGCACAAAATCCGGCTATCCTTGTTTTCCACGCAAAATCAGGTACCACAAACAGACATCGGTATGGGTCAAGCGATATATCATGCTTAATTAAGGCCGTTTACAATAGCTTACTTATGATTAATTTTAGTTTTATTCGAGTAGAATCAAATGTTGAGAATTTCAGCAAAAAAAAAACAAAAAAACATTTTTTAAATGTATTATATTTTTTTGTTTTTCTTATCATTTTTTTTCAAAAACTGTTATCCAGTTTGCCTGTATTACTATCACTATTAAGACTATGGTCGGAACATTGTGCTACTTGCACAATACCCAGCTAACCTTGTTTTGTTTGTGAATTGAACTAAGAAACTATAACAGGCCACTACTTTGTTCTGAAATTAGAGCTCAGCAACATTTTCAAACAGTTTCTGCTAATATTAGGCAAGAGATACTATCTTTCGGCTCAATTTTCTCATACAAACTATATATTCTACATTTAAGGATACGAGTGAAACGAAAGTATTCGAACAATTCTCAATCAAATTCCTGCTTCAACCAAAATCAAATCATTAACAAGGATACCCGGTTATTGTGTAAGTAAAACCGGGTGCAAGTAAAACCCAAAATTGCGCTAAAAAACTACCTTTACTTGAGTCAAACTAAAATTTAACGGCTTGAATTAAGCTTAAATCAGCTATTGCAATTACTAACTACCTTACTAATTAGCTCGAAATAGGACCAAAAATCATAAATTTCAAACCGGTTTTTCTCGACAAGAAAAACTTTTTTGAAATTTTTTAATGTCGAATTACGACTGAAAAGGCTTTACCATAATATATAACTCCACCCAGGCCCGATGATTATTCGTGGTAGCTGAGTTTGCGTGGAAAACAAAAAAATGAAAACACACGAATCCAAAGTTTCCGGAAAAATAATTATCTAGCTCAATTTCTTTTCAGCCTGCCGTTCGAAGTCATATTAAAAACATAAATAAACAAGGATAGCCGGTTACTGTGCAAGTAGCAGAGCATGTTCCGACCAGTCTTAAAAAATGTTTTCTCAACTTGGTGTCATTTTTTCCTGCATGTTGTGATTAAAAAATCTGAACAAAAAAAAATTAGGCATATTTGAGAGTCATAGTAAAACAAGTTCAATTGGAAAACCGTTTTTGAAAGAAATTACTAAAAAAACAAAAAAAAATTTAAAAAATTTCGAAAAAAAAATGTTCGGCTGAAATTAAGCTTAAATAAGCTGTTTTAAGCATATACGGTCACCTTATTAGCTCGAAATTAGACCAAAAATTAAAAATTTCAAATCAGTTTTTGTTGACACAGTGAAAACTTTTTTTTTGAAATTTTTTACAGTCGTTCGAATTACGACTGAAAGGGATTTAATATGATGTATAAATTAACTGTCCAATGATTAATTGTGGTAGCTGATTTTGCGTGGAAAAAAACTTAAACACCCGAATCCAAAGTTCCTCCTCATTTTCAATGGTCGGAA